TGAAACACATTTAACAAAGAGCTTAACACTGGTTCTAAAATACAAGCAGGAAACAGCAACGTATGCATTGAACATCAAAACCAAACTCAAATTTAATTCCCCTCGAAATTCTGAAAAGTATTCTCTCGATATTCCCAAATTCGCTACTGGATTCTATTCGCAAGACCAATGGTGATCCTATGATACATATTTAACTTTTTTACTTAGTTGGTAACATTTCGTAGTCTTATTGCCTGAAGCTAAACGCTGGGATTTATGTGATAAGATGAGATACGTTTTGAAGGTACAAGTACATGAAAGCTGCTTACTCATTTTTCGAGAATCAGGCAAAGATGTTAGCTTAATGTCGGGGGAAGCCTAACTGTCCACTGGGAATTCTGGCGGTTTGAACTTGAAATAGGTTGAAATCAGCGGTCACTTTGAGAACGCGTCGGCGTTTTCTTGAGGGTCCTGGATACATAGTTTTCAGGGTGACGAACAGAGAACGGTAACCTGTTTTATGCAACCTTTGTATCGTCGCCCTTGTAACCCCCATACCGGACTGTGATCAGCCCCGTATATACAGCATGTTGCTCCGTTTTTCAATCCTCGTTTGGTTTGCACTACCAATAAAGACTTGCACTATTTGCAAATGTCTTTTAACTGGAATCGTTGGGATGCGCATCTTGGAACCAGGTTCGTTGATGATTTGCTGAGACAAAACAATTCTACACTTCATCGAAGCCTCTTCGTAAGGGTGACACTTGAGAAAAACCTGCGATGCTCATCTCGGTATATATNTATATATATATATACCATCGGCTTGTAGACAAGCATGGTGCCAACGCAACAACAATAATAACAATAACAATAAAAGGGGACAGGTGGATTGGGGTACAGAACAGAGTGAAATGGGGGTGAAACAGTTAAACACGGGAAAATGGAAGAAAGCTGGAATAATAATTTTTTTTTGTTTCACCGTACATCTTTTGATATTTTTGTGTTGTTTGTTGAAATATAGCAGCCTGGGCAAACGAACCAGATGTACAATTAAACCACACTTTTTACGTTTCCAAAAATGGTTCACTATCTTCTTTTCTCTCATATTTGTGTTTATTTTGCAAATATTATGATCTTGGCAGCGACTGCATTTCTTTCTAAGATACATTAAAACCAAATATCAATGCAATCTTCTTCATGATTGTCATTGTTTTTCAGCCAGAATGTCTCGTTAGCGGCTGTCTTCGTTTGATCGTGCATGGAGGTGGATATCAATTTTCCCGTGGCATACAGTTTCTTGGTTCAAGTCGCATGCTGGAGGAGTATATGCACCTCCTGGAAACTGGTGAGGCTGTATCCGACTCGTTACAAGCTCTGAATCAGTTCAACTTGCTCACAAACTTGCGGGATGGCATATTGCGCAGGCCTCCTGCCCTGAAGATGCCTGGTTCTCCTGCTGTACCGGTGCGTCGTTTCTATCCATAATTTAAGCTAATTTTTCAAAATTAGTTATTGTCAAATGTCAATTCACTTTTTGTCTCATCAGATAGCTTTGACGAATTCAGATGTTCACACATCATTCACTTACCGCTTGGACCTCTATCGGATCTTTTACTTTAGGTGGACTTAAATTCTGTTTTGGTAAGCCAGCTGGAACCGGAAGCAGGGACACCATCGCTTTTCAAGAGGGGGTTGGTGGGTATTCAGCAATTAAGCTTTTCAAGGGTGTTCCGGTTACTATTGATCATTCTTGGTATGGCCTAACCAACTTTATTCTGGGGACCATAAACTTTATGCAGATAAATCGGCTTGAAGATGTAAGAAACGGAAATCACCTTGGCATTTTAAAACGGTGGTGACACCCTCAGCATACTTAATGAGAATATCATTTGGGTCGATAGATGCTCCTTGAAGCATTCCGTATTTGACCGGTAGTGAATCAGGAGTTTTTCTCACGAAATTTGGTAAATTGTGTTCTTCCAGTACAATAATATTGGAGCAAAGATTAAGTAGCAATGAACAATCCAGCATCAGGGAGTAGACATAGAAGTCTGTTCCTGTCAACGAGATTAAAGGCATTACTGTCTAGGGGTTGTAAAACTGAATTTACCAATTCCAAAGGGCTGTCTAAGGCACAACGTTGTTTGCGATACTCGAATTTTTTGTGAGGTGGCTGCCTAGTGTTAGGAATAATTTTGATAAGCATCAATTTTTCTGTAGTAAAACGGAAGTGCAGACGACTGATTGAAAATTTCCGGCTTCCTTTTGCGACATTGTCCGTCGGGACCGGAACCTCTTTTTGTTTTGAGACACAGCTGCGCCCGCGCCTGATTAGATTAAGCATGCAAACTTCATGACGATCAACTGATTGGAAATGTAATTCCGGTACTTCCTTGTGTTGATGTGGAAAACTTCGATTGAGTTCCTCTGATGTGGGTTGAGGCCCGTGCAGTCTGACTTTTTTAATTGCACGCCAGATTCACTTGCAATGCTGAACACCAAGTAGGGTTTTACTGGAGATGAAAATCTGGCGGGTTGATGCACATAGGGGCATGGGTTAGCAGATATAAAAACAAAGTTCAAATAACCAGTGAGCTGTTTGCACTAGGCGTAGACAGTTGGGTCATAAAATTGACCATAGTTTCTACGAGAGACCGTTTCGCTGTGATGCCAACTGCGCCAGGTCTCATAGCTTGTGAAAGATCTCCCAGCTGGATGTTCGTTTCTTTGTAAGATAATGTTTCTGTTTTTTGACAATTCATTTATGGTTCAGTGATCGGAGTTTGCCAGAGTGACTCCTCTATGGAAAGCAAATGGGCGAGGGTTGTTCGAAAACCGAAGGTCGAGCTGTGCGTTTCCTCGTGTGTGAAAGTTTTCGAGGTTGTGATGGGAGAGAGAGG